CCCCTCCAATAGAACCGTCAGCCCCCCCTCAAGACGTTAAATGTACCAGCATGCGCTCTACGGCCATTCTGGTAAGTTGGCGCCCGCCGCCGCCGGACACGCACAACGGGGCCCTAGTGGGCTACAGCGTCCGCTACCGACCGCTGGGCTCAGACGACCCGGAACCCAAGGAGGTGAATGGCATCCCCCCGACCACCACTCAGATCCTCCTGGAAGCCCTGGAGAAGTGGACTGAATACCGTATCACTGCTGTCGCGCACACAGAGGTGGGGCCAGGGCCCGAGAGCTCGCCCGTGGTCGTCCGCACCGAGGAGGACGGTAAGCACCTCCTGGCCGGGACCCTGCGGACCTCAGCCCGCCTTCCGCCAGGAAAATCGGGCTGGAGGCCACGAGGCGGGAGCCACCACCTTCCCCGGACAGCGCCCACTTGGCGCTTTGAATTTGGAACCGGTGCTTTCTTTAGACGTGGCCGCCCTTGTCCCCGCGGCATCCTGTCCCCAGAGCTGTGTGCCTGGAGGCTCAGCTGGCCACCCTGAGTTGGTCCAGCAGCGGTAACCATAGAAACGGGATGCAGGCGAGACCGAGCGCTGCCTCGATTCACTTGGCAGCCTGAGTGTTAGACTCGGGATAAGCCAGGATGCGCGCTCTCCACCCCGAGACCTAGTCGGCCCTGGGCTGCGGGGACCACCCCTTCTCGTGCGGTCAGCTGTCCCACCCTGGCCAGTCCATGGCACTGTGGAAAGGTGGGGAGCGAGGAGGTGGTTAGTGTGACGTCTCCTCCCTGGAAGGGGTAAAGCGGCCCTCCCGGGCCATATCCGAGGGGGATGGGGGCTGTGATCCCAGAGCAGATGGAGAAAATCCCCGAGCCAAGTGGCAGGGTCCCTAGAAGCAAGTGGCCTGGCTGCAGGGTTCGGGCCCCAGCTTTGTTCCTGGGATCCACTCCCGGGCCTCAGTTTCCCCATCTGTAAACGGGAACCTTGGTTCCTGCAGGGACAGCTCCCAGCACTGCGCCCCAGGCCCCTCCCGGGTGGGGGACCGCGGGGCTCCC